ATCCATCCATCCATCCATCCATTCATCCAGGCAGGGAGTGGGCAGAACCCTGGGAGCAGACTCACAGCCTGATGAGGAATGGGTGATTGACTTCCTTCAGGACAGACTTCTCGTTGTGCACGTGTTGCTCCTGCTTCAAGCGGATGACGTCGGGAATGCTCATCACCTTGAGCGCGAAGAAATGCTCAGTGGTCTTCTCCTTCACCAGGTGCACCCGTCCGAACGTCCCAGTACCTGGGAGGGGAGAGAAGAGACAGAGTGGTCAGGTCTCCTGACGGCGGAGAACCAGCCGCACCATGCAACAGGCAGGAGGCTGCACCGGGACCTCAAAACGGAGCCCTCAGACCTCAGAGTCACGGCATCAAGGTACACATGGCACGGTGGTATGTAAGGAGAGGCTCTCGTGTAGAGTCTGCAACTGAACACACGCATCACAGAGAGGGTCTTCCATTTAGGGGAAACGGGCCATCGTGGCTGCAAATGCGTCTTCCTGGAAATCCATCCCCAACACACTCCCCCACACACTCCCACATACAGTGCCTGCTAAATATTCTCTTTATTTAAAAATCTGGCACAGATTAGAATGAAGTGGTTGCAGATACCAGTCAAGAGAGGAAATAAGAACATGACCAGCTTGGGGGGAGAGGGTTTGTCCCTCAGCCCACAACTGTTCCCACTGGGATTCCGTAAAGTACTCGAGCTTACTACAGCTTTCTTAAATGACGCCTTCATAGGAAGTATATGGATCTCTAAATTCTCTCTAAATTGCCTTCGACCTGCCTTCATCCCAGCGCCGGCAGCCCCTTCCTGACACACGTCACTCCTCGGGAATATTTTTAAACAACCCATTCATGGCTTCAGACAGAGGTTAGCAACTACAACAAATACCGCCACCTTCTCTTATGTGATTACTTCCACCCCAGGGAGCCGACAGCACTTCTGAGAAATGTAAAGTGACCCAGAGAAAGGATGCTTTGGAACTGACTCTTTCTAAGGAATCAGAGCATCTTTTAATGAGTGAAGCTTACTAATCAATATTGATCTATTTATTCATTTGCTGATATCCTACCTGTCTGCGGTGCCTGCTACGCTAGCATGCACACCCCAAGAGAACCAGGACCTCAAAGAGATGTCTGCAGTCCTGTGTTTCCTGTTTACTGTTTATACTCCCATGTTTACTGCGGTAGCCAAGATGCAGAATCAACCCAAGTGCCCACCCAGGATGAATGGATACACAAGATACGGTCTACATCTCCAATGGAATACTATTCAGCCTTCAAAAGGAAGGGAACCCTGTCATTTGTGCCAACACGGATGAACCCAGAGGACATTATGTTAAGTGAAATTAAGTCAGGCACAGAAAGACAGACTTATGGCATAACCACACGTATATGAGGACTCCACAACAGCCAGACTCACGCAAGCAGAGAGCAGAGTGGTGGTTGCCCAGAATAAGTCTGAGCTAAGGGAGGAGGCGACAGATATGTTTATTGCATAGATCGAGGTGATGGTTTCACAGGTGTGCACTTATCTCCAAATTCATCCAAGGTTTATGTGTTAAATATGTACAGCTTTCCCTATGTCAATCGTATCTCAATAAAGTGGTTAGGGAAAAAAAGAGAGAGAACAAAACTGTCTCTCCACCTGTGACTTCATCTGGGGAGACACACATGGAGACATAGGACTAAAGTCGGCTTCAAAAGTGCATTCAACGTGCCGTGGGCAAAGGCAAGATGAGATAGTGTAACGTGTTACGTGGGGATTGAGGGAAAATTCTCTTCGGAGACGCGAACCATAGGTCAGCATTCCTAGGTCCATGTTAGACACAGACATACAAGTACCTTTTTCAAAAGGATACATCCCAAAAGTTCAAATTATACGCAGACGTTCCTCAATACTACTGGACACTTCACGTAAAATTTATTCTGTAAATTTATGTTCCCTGTTGCCCAGGACTCTGAGATCTCAGGAGGGAACGAGATCTCTACTCTCACGCTGCGGACATTTTTCCGGGGCAAAGGAGGCAATAAGAGAAATATCAGAGGGTGCCTCGTCCAGTGCCAAGACTTAGAGTCGGCTGGCGTGGCGGAGAGTAGCCAGCGGTGATTCGGGCGGCTTGTTCAGGGAGCACTTCTCCAAGAATGTCTCCGAGACACGCAGGTGTCTGAAGGTCTCCAAAACATCTAAGCAGAAACATGAGTGACAAGGATGAACCGCTCGGCTAGAGGAGGATCACGCAGGACTCTGCAAACCAGAGATTTGCGTGGGAACTTTATTCTAAGCGCGGGGGAGGGATCGAAGCAGTGTTAGGTGGTCTCGTATTGTCTTTCAATTTTTTAAGGCTATCTTTCCAGCAGGCACACAGTAAATGGAGTTAGAAGACCCTATAAAGTCACATAACAACGTTTCAGTCAACGACAGACCACGTACACGTCGGGGGTCTAGTAAGACTATAACGGAGTGTACACAGATCCTGATTATTGACACGTGATACACTTAAGCTACACACTTTTTAGCATTTTCTGTAAGCTAAAATCCTCATGCTGTGGACTATATAACTGACTGAATGGAGGAACGAATGACCCTACTAGCTTTTAGGGCAGCGTGGGGAGGGAGGAAGAGGAGTCGCCTTGGCTTTCAAATCAAGTTTCCAATACTGAATATTTTATGAGGGCAGAAGTAGAACATGACCTACAAAACAGTTGAACAAGAAGTAAAGAAACGAATAGTAAGTAATAAAGGATTTTTAAGTATATTCTCACTGAAAGATAATTGGGAAACACAAGTAAAATGTTATTAGAGGAAGGCAATCTTGCGTAACAATAAAATCGGGTGCAATGAGTTCAATGGCAGGATGTGGGAAACAGCTTTGCCAACCGTGAGCTGATAGAGTCTAGGTGTTTATGTGGCTGCTGATGATTTAATTATTAGGAAACTCTGAATTCTTGGCACATCCTAAAATATTTCACATTGCAAAGAAAACTGTCTCTCTTAATCTTTCTTCCTCTGCCTGGGCCCTTCCCCTCTTGCTCATCTTTCTCCACTGTCCACCCTAAGGAACGCATTCAGTACTTGGTAGCGCTGATGTTCACTGGACAACATAGCTTTTTAGCACTTGTCTTTGACCATCAGTGGAGAGATTTCTCCATGCCGACGTCAAAAACAACACAGCTGTGACTCAGCAGATTTTTAACATTTCTACCTGCAACTTCTTTAAAGCTTTTTCTGAGCTCCGGGAGGTGTAAACACACGGCACGCAACACGGGTCACGCGCGTGTGCGCCGCGGCAGGCCCCTGCCCTGCCCTGGGAGACGTGGTTAGTCCCGCAACGCCACGATCGGGTTTCAGAACCGCGGCGGTAAACAACCTTGCTCAAGGCGCATAACACGGGCTTGCTGGAATTTTTATCAGCTTAAGCGCACAGAAGACAAAGACAACATTTCTTGGTGTTGATGTGAAGTCATGGCTGCAGTAAGAAGAAAATAAGGGCAAACAGAGGGCTCCCTGCTTGGTGCTGGGAGGCTCCGTAACATGCGTTCCCGGCCCTCATCATACCACGCAGGTAGCAATGTCTATTTTTAGCCCTTTGCAGCTAAGAATGGCCACGGGGCAGCTTTGCCCAGTAAGACATAAAGGACAGTCTTTCTGAGTGTTTCTCGATAAATCAGAATTTTCCTCCCTGATAAAACAGAGTGTCTCAAGGAGAGTTCTCCACTACCCACCCCAGAGACCCCCTTCCCTCCCCAAGCTAGGTAGTATTTGAGGCAGAGAAAAGGAATTTTACTCAGCAGTGAAATCTTATGTGGAGAATATTTCTAAAGTCAAAGATTTTACATATTTTTGTAATTTAAGAGTATTATAGGGGTACAAATGCTTTGGTTACATAAACTGCCTTTGCACCACCTGAGTCAAAGCTACAAGCGTACCCATCCCCCAGACAGTGTGCACGGCACCCGTTAGGTGTGAATATACCCATCCCCTCCTCCCCCTCCACCTGCCGACACCTGACGAATGTTGTTACTGTCTGTGCACATAGGTGTTGATCAATTAATAGCAATTTGATGGTGAGTCCATGTGGTTCTTGTTTTTCCATTCTTGTGATACTTCACTTAGTAGAATGGGCTCCAGCTCCATCCAGGATAATACAAGAGGTGCTAGATCTCCATTATTTTTTGTGGCTGAGCAGAACTCCATGGTGTACATAGACCACATTTTATTAATCCACTCACGGATTGATGGGCACTTGGGTTGTTTCCAAGTCTTTGCAATTGTGAATTGTGTTGCTATAAGGTCAAAGCTTTCAGATGAAAAATCAAGAATGGGTTCCTCAATTGCTAAATCTACAAGGCTCTGAATACCCAAGGTGACTTCACAGACATACCTGGCCACAGACTGGACCTCACCTAACATAAAAGTATTCAGTCTTGACTTTCCTTTGGGTGAACATTCATTCATTTCATGGCAGAAATATTCTCGCATTAATAACACACTCCGACAAGATTCTGCTAAGGGTGATGTATAAATAAACACCACACAGCCTTATTATCATCCCAAACTCAGAAAAATTCCAAAGTCCAAAATGCACTTGGTCTATCGACGTCGGGTGGTTAGAAGCTAACCCTTGATGATCTCAGGAAGGTGGGCTTACTTGTAAGGTGGGCACACCCTTTTCATAGCAGGTCTAGCGTGGTGGGCTTTCCCTCCAACACTGAAACAGATGTTTGTTTCTCCAGCCAAGTTCCAGATGGGGAACACAGTTCAGATTTATGGGCCACTTCGCATGTGCAATTCTGGTCTTTAGACACGAATGCAAGATGGATTCAGGTTTCCTCTCTCGCATGGGGGAACACCCTACCTTTTGGAAGCCTCAGACATTCTTGCCATTCTCCTTGCATCCATCCATCCTCCCCAAGCCTTCGTGTCAGACTCACATGCAGACACATCCCAGCTTTGTGTCTGGAGGGGTGGAGGAGGGAAGGAAGGAGAATATGTCCACTCTCAACACAACTAGCAAACCCCGTAACAGTTCCCAGCAAAATGCCATAAACATCTCCGGAGGCACATGCAGACACAGGCATGCGTCATCGTACGTGGACAGACACACATTAAGGTCACCGAAAAACGAGAGGCTTCATCCTGAATGTTTAGACAACACCGCAGAACTAAAATATTAAATGAATCACCACAAACATGGGGCCCAGTGAAAGCCTCCCTTTTTACTGAGCTGGCACAAC